TACATTTGGATTTGATGTCAATTGCAGATTTCAATTTCTACGTAACTTTTTTACAGTAAATTGAAGAAAGGTTCCAAAGAATACGACCAAGGTTATTCTTATTTGATGGAGAAATATCCGGAAATCAAAGATATTCCAGATAAAGAAAATTATTATGTTGGAACAGTCAAATTAGTAGAAGTTATGGTAGTTGCTGGTAAGAAAATGTTGGAATGTATTCCACTTCCTGCTTATTTTGAGGCGTCGCCAAATGAGGATTTTGAAAGTGAAATGGATTAAAATTAACTGAAGTAAAAAAAACTAATTACGAGTAAAATCAAATTTATTACATTGTACAAAACTTTTAAATAAAGCAGTCTAAATTAAATATTGTATAATCTGATAATTTTCTAGCTTTTTTTAGTTGTGAAACCAAGAGTGATATAAAGATCTGTCAGGTTCATTCAATTAGGAGAAAAAGAGTGGATATCAATTTATGAACTTATATATACATTCAGAATGCTTTTTTGTCTAAAAATTATTTTAAGCTGGAATATAGAAGTGCGTTAAAGATTTTTAAATCAGCAATAATGCGTTACGTTGCTGTCTTTGGCATATGCTGGTGATAAAATACAAAAGCTATAAAGCTGTGGAAAATATTATTTACGATTTTAAAAACATTCAATTTTATCGTTTATTTTTAATTATTTAATATTAACCTTTGAGCATTGCTGCAGGTGTTATTCAATAGTCTTTAACTCTACTTATTATAGTAATTTAACAAAATTATCATAAATTATTATTCCAAGTTAATGGGCAAAATATAAATTCAGTGCTTAGACGCTTTGGAAACAGTTTGCACTAACATACGTTTTAACAAAATTTGATAAAGGCGATGCCGGATTTTTTTTTACCAATATTTTGTTGTTTGTTCTGTTTGTGCTTAATGCATGGAAAACAGTCATACCAACATAGGATTTCTAAAAAGCAGTTGAACAGGTAATACAATATATATTCTTTGTAAGGTAAGTGAATAGATTTATATCATAACTCTCCAAATTATCGCATGGTAATTAAAAATAGATTATTTATATTAATTTTACCGTTTAGTTTTCGAGGTGGTTCACCAGATCCCGTAGTAAATCGTCGTCTTGCTGGAATTGCAAGGCAAATTCTTCGACAATCAACATGGGGTGGTTTTTCAACTATAAATAGCAGTCCAAATTTTTCTACTGGTTATCCTTTTGTTGCCCCACGTAACTTTGCTGAGGGCAATTCTACTCATAGCACTGGTATAAAATTAATTATAATATAATGAAATAATGAATGATTAATATACAAGATATAATTTAATTTACAATACTAAATATGATCGAGATATCGAATTTTTATAAATAGTTTTTATCTTAACAATGAATATTGAATTACGTTTATATATTAGCATATATAGGAATTCTGAAATATCTGGATTCAAATCACATCAGGTCTTTTCATTTAGGTTGTGATGATGTCACATATAATGATATTTTATTCAATTCATTTTGTAGTTTAAGAAAAAGTGAATGTATTAATTATTATAATTATTCAAGAAAGTGACTTTGGCATTTTAAGCAAACAAGAAAAATATTTTCATGTTACATACTTACTACACTTTAATTGCACCACCTATAATTATAAAAATCATATCAATCCCAAGTGAAATTCATATGAATTAGTACTGCCATTAATACAAAACCCCTTTAAAAATTGACATGTATTATTGCTTGCAAGTAATAATAATAATTTAATATAACTCTTTTTAAAAATATTTATGTAATAAATAGAAATTAAAACAAATATAATAAAGCTAATATTATTTAGGGAAAAAAAGTTTGGATATTACTCTATTAAGTAATTTTATAATCAACAAGTTTATTGACTTACAATTTTTGGGTCTTCTTATACATACATTGAGAGCTGGTCTTAGTAACTCATTTGAATGATCCTCAATTTTTTATATGTGAGTAACGTCTTGGCCTTTAATTACTTCATCTACGTCAGGGGGCGTCCATTAATTTTTTGGATTTTTGGACCCCCCCTCCCCCTTGGTGATATATGGTGGTATTTAAAATTACCTTCCTTTCCCTACAAAACATCACATGTATTTCTAGTTGCGTGAAAAAACTGATTTTTAAAAATATTTTTTGAAAATGTTTGAATTTTTTAAAAAAATCAGTTAAAGAATAAATACACGTGATATCTTACTATAACCCTCCCTACCCCAAGTGATATTTTGTGATTTTTTGTCAAACCCCCCAAATCTTAGATTTCGTTCTTTGCATCTTAACAATATTGACAGAAGAACGAAATAATTGCATAGAGATCTGTGAATAAAAATTTTGATGCGAGATTTGATTTCGAAGCGAGTTTTTGAGTTAAAGCAACTGACAATAAAGAGAGCGGCTTCTAATTGATGACAGGACGATTTGATTCAAAAAACTATGCTTATGTATTATTATTATATTCTTCAGTTTTATGTTGGATCTTTACATTGCTTAGTCTTTACAATATAAACATATTGCCATATTGGTGTTTTTATACAGGTAAACCATATTTTTATTTTATTCCTGACTATCCAATATCGCCTGATGATTTATTGATAACCGATGTTACTGCCGATACCAGAGTGTCATTTACTGTGACTACTGAACAGACTGGTGTTTGCAGGAAAAATGGTCACAATGTCCAAAGTACCAAATGCTATTGGGTCGTTTACAGTGGTGATTTTCGGTAAGTTGATTGAATATAATTGTGACAATAACTTTATTTCTTTCGAAGATAATTTTTGTATTGCACAAATATTGTCCATTTACAAAGAAACAAATAGTTGATACAATACGATTTTATCTTCTATATATATAAAAATAAGTCGGGTTTTCCTTCCTGACGAAATAACTCCAGAACGCACGAATCGATTTCGACAATTTTGCATTCGTTGGAAAGGTCTCGGGCTCCGCAAGCTTTATAGCTAAGAAAATACCCTGAACAATAAAAACAATCAATGTGCTAAATAATAAAAGATAAAAATATCTTAATACCGTACTTTCCTTATAACTATCTGATTTAGCTTCATAGCTACTTTATTGACTAAAAAAGAATACCTTGAAAATTTATCGAATAAAATGGCATATCCTTCTGGTTATAAAGTATATTGTTGTTATATAAAACTTATTTTTAGTTTTTGTCTTCAGAATATTTATTTATTTTGGTTCAATATTAATTACACAAAATCAAAAATTGGTTAAAATAGGCCATAAAAAGTTGAATGTTTTAAACTAAAGCCTTTACCCATCGTATGTGATCTTATTGTTTTCATCACTGAAGTAAAATTAAATAATATTTGATATATTACTATAATCGTCATTATTTTTTTCATTATAGTAAATTAGACGAGAACTCTGAAGAATACAAGGATGGTTATCAGTATTTATTAGAAAAGTATCCAGATATAAAGGAAATATATAAAGAATCAAAACTAGTATTAGGAACGATCAATTTAGTCGACGTTATGGTAATTGCTGGGAAAAAAGAGTTGGAATGTATTCCTCTTGATGCTTATTTTAATACACTTCCAAATGAACACTTTGCAAGTGAAATCCATTATAAACAAAAAGTATTGAGGAATCACATAACCAAAATGCAGTAAAAAATATGAAATTATTAGTTACAATTTTTTGGATCGCACCTTCACTTGGCTCACAAAAATATATAATAACAGTTTTCACAGCTGTTTTCTTTACATAATAGAATCCTCCAAGAAATATTTTGAATACATGCAAATATTATCATATAATTGTACAAATTTATGATTTTTACTTAAATACAGTATTTTTTATGGTATTTTTTATACATGAAATCATTTTGCATTAGCATAAATTGTTTTGAAGTAAAAACATTTAAGACGTCATATTTTTCAAAGAAAAATAACATACAAACACTATTAATTAAATTCGAACCATGTTAATGATGTATTCTCTAAATTTCATATACCTCTTTTCTAACATTAATATCAATTTTTATTAAGTCTATATCTAAAGGTTTAGCTTGCAATTAGTTTTAAAAAACATTTTTCTCCCGGTTTACGTAATGGATATTTTTGTCTTTAGGTTAATAATTATGAACAACATTTAAAAAAAACAAGATTTTTGAAATTATGATATTTAATCATTTTTGGAAGTAGCTTTAGTATATTTGCATCAACATTTTATGAAAATACACAAAGATTTACAAAAGCAAAGTTCGAGCATGAGTCCATGGATTGAAAATTTCATATTGGCGGACTTTTTTAAATTTTACTAAATGAGCTTTAAATTGATTTTATCTTCAGGATTTAATTGAAAATGTTTTCATATTACATTTTATATATACATATCGGTTCATAGTGAAAAGTCTTTCATCCTAATGAATTGCTCTTAATGAATTGCAAACTTATGTAAAATTTTGAATTTAAATAGATAGTTGAAAATAATGCAAAGGAGTAAAATACCTGGTAAATACAGAAGTGGGATATTTTCTAAAAAAAAAAATGAAAATGAAAGCAAGTTTGAATACGACTTTACTCCAAAAATTCATAAATACATAGTTATTGAAATACTTTAAAATTATCATTATTACCAATAATTAGATTAATTTCGTATTTTAAATTCAATTTTCACAATTTACAGTAGCTGTCATAATAAAGTAGTAGTATAACATATTATTAAAATGAACGTTTTTATGAATATTATCTATCATTTTAACAAAAATATACAAATGTTATACAATTTATGTCAATTACCAATTATTTATTACTAAGCAATAGGTAAACTTTGCGCATCCGAATGGCTATAAAGTAATTTATTCGCGAAATTGCCATATTTCCATTTCCATAAATTTTGTTATCGGAGAAAAATAAGTTCAACGTCATATTTTTTAGAAAAAATAGTCATATAAATAAACTTTAAGAATATTATGGCATTTAAAATTTGTTTATACTACGAGTAACAGGAGGAAGAACGCAATGTGGAATTTAACTTCAATTTTAATTTTGGTTTTAGTTTTTGCCTGGTCTACTGATGCTGTTAAAAATCCGAGAGGAATAAAAACACCTGGCAGATTTGCGAGTCATAGTAAAAGGTAATAAAGCAAAGATTTTATAAATTGATATTAACCCATATAATGATAAAAAATGATATATTTTTCCTGAAAAAATCTAATAAACCTCTTCCAAAAATGTGTATTTTTAAATTTAAGACAATTTGGTTTATTAATTTAACCATTAATTAAAAGTTCTTCAAATACAATTCAATACAGCACTAACCATTTTAAAAGTTTTTTGATATTAATTTTAATTAAAATTTGGTAATATTTTTCTTTGAATTCTAGCGCCCGTTATGGATCTCCTGATCCCGAAGTAAATCGTCGTCTTGCTGGTATTGCTAGGCAAATGCTGCGCCAATATCATTGGGGCGCTTTTGGTGTACTATCAGACTATTGGGAAACTTACGATTATCCTTTTGTTACACCCAAAATGTTTGCTGAAGGAAATTCTACTTACAGCTCCGGTAACGAATGAAATTATACTCCAAACATATCTAATTTGATAATTAATGCCATCTGGTAATTGCATCTAACATAGCACTATACTGCACTTTCCTGTCTCGGCATAACAATTTTAAATATTGATGATGAAAAGTTGGCATATGATTTGTGTCTTTCTTAATCAGTGTGATCCGGCATATTGTTGTTAAATTTCTTCTAGTTCTGTAGCCGCCACGTGGTTATAGAATTTATTAAATTTCTCTTTCTCAGGTTGTTAGTTTAACATTTAGCTCTTGTATCTGTGGACTGTATTAATCACTGATTTGTTGGTATAATTTACGTATTTGTTGCAGTTCTTATTACAAACACTGATTTGTCACTAAGTTATAATTCAAGAAGATATATTTATTGATTATTTATTACACATATTGTTACGCGGACATTAGATTTAGAAATGAAAAAAATTAGTCTTATTAAACTACCTCCTCTCCAGGGGTAGCAACCATCCGGCGTAAAAGCTCAATGACATGAAGATTGCCGCTTCATGGCCAAGATAATAAAATGAAAATATGTCCGAACAACTTCTTTTAAATAACGTAATTAATTTATGTTGATTTTTTGTAATTTTCAGGTATGCCTTACTTTTTCCTGTCCCCTGATTACTACGTTACACAGCATCTTGAGCATAGTCACAAAGTATCATTCTCCGTCAGTCGTATGCAAAGTGGTGAATGTAAGGAGGATGGAATTGATGTCCAAAATCCTCGGTGTTTTTTTGTTGTATTCAACGGAAATTTCACGTAAGTTGCTTATAACATAATCATTTTAATAATATTGCTATTATGGTAAATATAATAATAATTAAAAATGAATTATGCAAGCCGTTCGAAAGACCCTGATGGTAAGGTAAATGTGATTTTGATAACTCCACTTCTTATCCCACGAGCAACTGTTTGTGGTAATAACTATCTGACAAAAAATAACGAATTTGGATATATCTTTTTTAAATCGAGTTAAATAATTTGACTCAAATAAGAAAATCAAGACTCTATAAAGAAAGTTGAGAATATTGAGATCAGAATTAATTAAAACTGTTTTCACCACTTACCATAATGTTCATTATTTATGAAAACATTTAATGTGGACATTTTGTCTCATAAAAGTAATTGTTTAGAATGTTTAATGATGCATTTATTTATTATATCATTAGATTTTCTTGTGACTATAAATTATGATTATTCTTTTGGTTCATAATTAAATGTTTCAGACAATTCTCATTTACAAGATAAATTGCGCAAGAAAATTTATAAAATATTTGTTGGGCGTCAGCTTCCGTACCAATTTATTATGACCTAAACGTAAATAAACAATGTCCCCAAAAATGTAGATAAGACAAAAAGTCCATTCTACTATTAATTCTAATGCTTCCTAATTAAATGCATTTATATTAACTCATTTAATAATTTCAGTAAATTAGAGAGAGGTACTCCCGAATATGAAGAAGGATACCAATTTTTGACAGAAAAATATCCAAGAATAGAAACCACTCCAAATAAAGAAAACTATGTAATAGGATACATCAGTTTGATCGATGTTATGATAGTTGCTGGTAAGGAAGAATTGGAATGCATTCCTATGGGCGCTTATCATAATACACCCCCAAATGAAAATTATGAAGAAGAAGAATTTGGTTCGACTTCGTCAAAAACATTAACCAATAAAAAAACTAACAGAAAAATAAATCGTAAACGAAATGCACATGTGTAATGTTGACAACGAGGTTTTAATATTTATCACATAAAAACACTTTTTTGAAACAATAATCCCCATACTCTTGAAGACCAATACCGCTGTAACAAATACGTCTAATGTGAAATGATCAGAAATATTATTAAAGTTACTCTTTCGAGTAAAGTGAAGCTTATTATTTCAGTAGGAGACTAATATGTTAACACACTATAAAAATTGATACATCATGTTTTAAAACACTACCTACATTTTACTAATATTAAAAGAAGTCAGCTTGACTTATATATTACATAAAGAGAAAATTGAAATGAATGTTATATTAAAGCATTTTTTGCCAAGATTTTATAATCATTGATTCAGCGTATTATTTATTAATATTTTTTGAACAGCAAGGTAAATTATTTTTAGTGCTTCATCAGCAGTTGTGATGCATTTTCAAATACCTAGCGTTACTAGAATGCAACCCCAATGGTTGAATGTTTGTAATAATTATTTTTTACTTTTTATACTTTTAAATTATGAAGTGTTATAAACGAATGACCCAAAAGGTATTTTTACTTGAAACTCACTATATTGGGGCCAAATCTCCGATGAAATAGACCGTTGTTATGGCAACGCTATGTTACTCTCTTTTCTTCATATAAATTGGTAGGAAAAACTGCAATGTATGATAATATTATGCGATGAGGCGCTTTAGACTTCAGACCTAATTCAGAAAATGCAAAAACGTCGAAAAAAAAGAATGTTATCATAACTGCATTTTTCTGCTGTGTCATGACATAACACATACGTGAAGTTATGGTATTTAAGAAAAAAATGTGAGTCAATAGATTTTGGATCAAATCAAAGGTCTTTAGACCTATATTTCAGTAGCTCAAATAAAACACAAAAAGAACAAATTTTGTTCAAGACATCTGATTCACACTTTGATGCTATCAAGCTACTGGATTACTAAATCCAATTCTATAATTTTATCTATAATATATATCATTTACATCATTTCCACGCGGATGCTATAAATTCGAAATCTCACAGTTTTAACAATTTCTTATCAAATGTTATTTTCTAAAATATTACATATCATCCACATCCCATAAACATGAAATAAAATCAGCTTCGTTTTGATATGCTGGATTAGTGTTCATATATCAAATTCAACGTCACAGAATTGGATTTGCGTCACGACGGATCATGACCCGCCCGAGTGTAGACGATAAGGATTTGTTCTTATGAATTATTATACTGTTTATTTAGTCTATCAAACCCACATGAACGTTCACTTGTTTACGATATTTGTACAACGCATAATAGACTTAAAGAATAATGCCCATTGCCGTCTTTAGAATTATTGTGTAAATATGTTATTTTATCGCAAACGATTTCAGAACAATGTACTGACTCATAGGGTAAGAGAAAATAATCTTATATCGTCTGGAACATTTTGCTGCAGTTAACTTCTCGAAAAAATAGAGCTGGGCATGGCTTAATGGTAAGAAGGCGGTGCAGCAACTTTGGTTCCGGGTTCAATACCCACTTTGGCCAGCTTGATATTTAGTAGTAGTGACATTAGATTTTCTCTTTACAATAATAAAAATCAAATTTGGGGCCATTATTGCAATATATACATATATATATATATATATATATATATGTATATATATATTTATATATATATATATATATATATATATGTAATATTTTTGTAGCCCAACCGTCGAATTAAAAACAAGATTAAATAACAAAATTATTTATTCCATTAAACGTTTCGACACTTGATGTGTGTCATCATTCAGTAATCAAACCAGGAAAAACCCTAAATTTGTGTAAAATAATAAAATACTATCATATTAACAAACGAGAAATAGGAGGAGCACATATTGTCCTCCTATATTTATTGGAGGATTATCATATTATATGTTATTGGTAGCATTGCATTGTGGGCATTGAGTTATATTTAAAATCAACAATATTTTTTTTATAAAACAGTTAAACAATGTATATTTAAAAACTATATTGAAGTCTCTTAAACTAAATATTGGCCACAAACAAAAAATGTGACATCGAAATAAATATAGAACTCCAAAAAGAAATAAAGCTTTGAATCACCAACCGGATTTTTGATAAAAATTCATTGCGATTTTTATCAAATTAGTTACAAAGTCACGTTCAAAAAAAAGTACGAGTAATATAATCGTAGCGGACTTTGTAACATATTATGATTATTTTCATAATCTTTATTATTTTCATTCACCGCCGATAAGACATATTTTTTTCCTTGTTATGTTTACGTAAATCCAATAAATTACAGTTGAGATTATATAAATATACATTATAATAATCAGCTTTTTTTATCATTGTTTTGTATAATAAAAGAAATTGTTAATGTAATACTAAATAACTTTTGCTTATTATAATATTTAGTCATAATCGTATTTTTGCTAAAAATATTTAATTATTCAATTTCAAATCGATGATATGAAAAATTTATTATGTAATATTAGAAACTAAGCTAAAAACATGAACATATAATTAAGATGATTTTATGAAATTTTAAATACAGTAATGTAAGGAGTAAGTTCAGTAATTATATTTACTTAAATATAATAAGTATTAATATTGTATAATTTAATAGAAGCATTTAGAAAATCAACTCATTATCACGAGAAGTGGTACATACCAAATCCATTGCCTGAAATTATCATCACCACATCTTTCATAATTTTATACAGCATGCAAGGCCCAATTTATGTCATTAAAAATTCATATAATTATGTCTATGAGCAATTAAAACGCGTAATACACAAACAAGCCAGACATAAACCATTGAAGGTTTCTAATAATGTTAAGATAATATATTTTTTATTACAATCTCCTTTAACAACAAACATGAGAACTGTCTGGAGATAACGAAATGAGGACGCACTTATTTCGTGATTAATATCATTTTTTTACTGACGTTCTTTAATTAATGTCAAATAAGATACGGAATATGATTAAAATTATTATATCAATATATGGAAAATTGATAATGGATCGCAACGCGCATGGCACACGTTGTCGACTTTTGCGACAAGATTGGATAATATTTGCTTTAAATCTTTGCTTTAAAGTCCAATCATGTAATATTTATATTAAAAAGGAATAATTGCACTTTACAACATTTTTTGTTTACTTGTTTTTGAACATCAATCACAACTTAAGAGTTGTATGTACTGCTTTGATGACACTGTTTGGATTTCTAGAAACCAACTCCACTATTAGTCGATATAACATTATATTTAATATATATGTCATTAGATTACTTACGATATATGTCATTAGATTACTTGTCATTAGATTTCATTTATACAAAATACATTTAATTTAGATGCAGAATTACTTTTGTAAGAGGAAGAGCTATATTCACTTACAATTACAAACATGTCCACTGCTATATTTTTTATTAAAAATTAATGTCACTACTGCTTTGTATCAGGTTGTCCAGGATGGGCATCGAACAAGATACCTTCTGGCTGGATGTTATAACCACTGAGCTAGAGAAGCGAAGAAGCGAAGAAGCCCGTCAAGAACAAGAAAGGAATAAAATTATACCTGAAACTGTAGTATCTGGATGGATTTGCACAAGGTATGTATTTGGATAAGGAATTAAACTGAATTATCCATATTAGTAATAAATGTAAAGAAATTTTTCTGAAATCCAAGCTACCAATAGAAAACAAGCTCCTGATAATTGATTTATAGAAAACATTTTCTAAAATTGATAAAATTTTTGGTATATTAAATGACCCGTGTATCACGATTGATATATATTAATAATAAAAATTGATATATATTAATAATAAAAAATGATATATATATATTAATAATAAAAAATGGTAGTCTGCTCAAAAGCAGGTCCATGGTGCGCAACACATGATTTCCTTGCACTTTGTTGTCTATCAGTCAGAAACATTACCACTATTTCTACCCCCCCCCCCACTTTTTTCTTGTATTTTTCATTCCGAACTTTTGTTCCAGACTTCTTGATTATCTGCTTTGGCTTTCAGTTCCCTGTCAATCATTTGCATTCTTCTTCTTCCCATTCCTTTCAGTCCATCTATTTTACCCTCGACGACGTCATGCAGGAGGCACTCTTTTTGCAGAAGGGGTTCGATCCAGTTTCCTTTTTTTTCTCAGGATTGTGCTCAGTAAAGTCTTTTCTCTGCCGATTCTTCTCAGGACCTCTTCATTTGTTAAAAGTTTTCTTTAAATATTTGCATCTATTCCATCCAAAACATCAGCAAATTTTTGGTTGCCTGAGTATGTCTATCAAATAGTAGACTATCTATAAAAATTGCTGCATGACATGATTTCTGAGAAAATATCAGTGAGGTTTATAACTGACTCTGTTGATTGCAATATGTGATGAAAATATTTATTTAAATAACATGATCATTCGCACATTTCACTTTAATGATATTGATTTAATTTTCTACCTATACCTAGTCTAAAGAGAAAAATAGACAATTCCATTTAATTTATGTCGTGCAACATTCGAGTTATTATTAGTTTAATTGGTAATTCAGAATCATTCATGCATTCGTTTTTTGTTTTTTTTCTAGTATACATTGTAAGTAATCTTATATACGTTCAATAATTAATATGGCCAGGGCTATGAATAGTAAAGATTCATTTAGTAGATTCAGTAAATGACTTCACTTAATTTGATTAACTTCTAATCTTGTTACCCAATCAGAATAATTTTTGATTTGTTCTAAATGTTTCTGAAAAAAAAAAGTGGTGATAACTAATAGTCACCCTTGTTATTAGACCTATGTTAATAAAATGCTTGAGTACCTCATTTCTGATTCTGATTTTATAGTAATAGGATAAGTTATAGTATATATTTTTGTGTAGGAGGCATTCTTTTTGCAGAATGGGTCCGAACCAGTTTCCTTTTCTTCTCAGGATTGTTCTCAGTAGAGTCCTTTTCTCGCCCACTCTTCTCGGGACTTCTTCAGTTCATATCTTGTCAGTCCACTTTATTTTCTCCATTCGCCTCCAGCACCACATTTCAAAACTCTCCAGATAGTTCTTGTCGGCTTTTCTTGGAGTCC